GTAAATAGCGACTAATGATCAAGATTACTTTCTGTCTCCCCCTTCCCAGGTACACCTGCGTGTGCTGACGATGTGCCGTCACGTGATCATGTCCGTCGGAACCTTCGGCTGGTGGGCAGGCTGGTTCGTCAGTGGTGACGTCGGCGGTGACGTCATCTACTACACCCGACAGTTCAGGGAGGGCTCGGAGAGGAGCCGGATGTTCGAGGCCACGGACTTTTTCCCGCCCCACTGGATCGGGATCGGGGACTGAGGAGGCCGCGAGGGCCATGACAGGGAACTTGTGGGAGAGAGAGCTGGGTGGAGTCTTCAGGTCGGCGTTACCCTACAGCTCGGGTCCTGGGTCCAGAGTTTCTTCCAGGCATCTCTTCTGGGGGGGGGGACGACTCCACCTCGAAGAACATCTACCGTTCCCCCCGACACCCCCCCAAAAAAAAAGAACGAACGAGGGCCATGACAACCCCCCCCGCTACTCTGCGGGAAATGTAGAACTCCCCCTCCCCTCATATTTTCAAGTGTACCTCCCCCCCCCCCCCGAAGAATAATGTCTGAAAGAAACACTGCCTGGATCTGGGTCAGTTACCAAATGTCAAATCGTTTGACTGCTTGATCTAGAAGAATCTAGATTGGTGAGTAAATCAGCTGGGTGTATTGACCCAGATGAACGCTAAAATGGCGGATGAATCTGACTAGTCTCACTTATATAGACTAGTCTCACCTAGATAGACCAGTCTCACCTATATAGACTAGTCTCACCTATCTAGCATCGGGAGTTTCACTACAGGACCTAGATTGGCAACTCTTGCCATATTGAAGTCTGGTAACTTTGACAAGTCTTATCCAACTAAAACGTTCAGCCATACTGACAAGTCTTGCTGTTTTGACCAGTGTTTCTTCCAGACTTTTTTCTCCGGGAGGCACTTAAAAAAAAAATTTTGGGGGGGGTGGGCACGTTAGACTTTTTTGGCGGGGTTATAACCCCCCCCCCCCCCCCCCCCGAAGAAATGCCTGGAAGAAACTCTGCTTTTGACAAGTCTGGCTTTTATTACAAGTCTGCCGGTATAGGTATGACCCCGATACACCTGTGAGAATCTACAAGAAAACAGTTCCAGATTTTAAGACGGCGACACTTTATCAATGTGTAATCTGAAGAGCCCCTCGCCACCCCACCCCCGGGTCCTAGATACAAAGACTGAAGCGTGATGCCATACACCATACCGAAAAGCCCATACAAAAAAATTACTGCACTCATCATTTGGTGCTATGGGTGTAATATTGCTCATGTATTTCAGTATTTTAACGGAGTGGTGTCCATTCAGTATTGGTTATGTCCATATACAATTAGTGCTGTGCATAAAATATGTATCATATGATATTATATCCATTAGTATTACTGTCCTGTACTTGTTAGCTAGATAAAATATTGCTTTGATAAAATTAGAAGTTGGACTACTAATTAGTAAGTCTTCTTATTTGTATAAAATGTGTGCTAATGTGATGTTGTGTGATGAGATACAAATAATATGTGTGAATTGTGTGTTTAGTGTGTTAACGTGTGGTTGTGTGATAAGATACACATACCCCAGAGAGTCATGTCGTCTGTATTGCAAAAAAAAATAAAGAATTTTTTTTTTAAAAATATGCAATAAATTTAGATAATTTGTGTAAAGACAACTGAAAATATAGACTGAGTGCAATACTTATTGTACAGTTAAAAAAAAAAAACACCACTCCTGAACTTTAAGGGTTAAAATATACTTCTACCAAAATATAAGTGTTAAAATGCAGGACTCGTTTTTTATATGCTTGATAATTTTTAACATTTTCGTTAAAGATTTTACATATGAAACTTTAATGTTTGTTTATATTGTAGCTTTGTTATAAGCAATTTATGCCTCTATAGTTAAGAACGCCGTCCGAAATTCATCTTCCTAAAATATACTTTAAAAAGTATAGGGTTACTTACGGTAGAGTATTTTGGTCTAAGAATTTGAGTATTACATTTTTCTTAGTGTTTTAATTGTGTGCATGCATTTGTATTATACTCTCAAGCATGATTGCAGTCAGGGCAGAGCGCCTGTAGGACAAATATTTCATGCAATGTAGGTTTCCATACAAAATCTGTAAAAATTTCAAGCTTAAAACTTAAAACATAAACAATAACGGTCTTGTCGCGGTATAGGGTGAAAGTTTACAATTTAGTATCTTGTATACACAGTGTTGGTGAATATTTGAAACGAGAAAAATGGCCCGTTGAGGAAGATACAACGGGCGCTAGGTTGATAGTGCTGTCTATTTTCTCTAAACTAAAACCAAAACCACCTTAATTCATTTTAACGGGAAACGAAAAATGACATTGAAAACGGATTTTTATCCAGAATCGGTACTTTAATTTATACAAAATATAGTCATAGGCATATCCCTAAACCATGCACCTAATCTCATTCATGACAAAAGTCGCATTTAGAGTTTCTGTCAAGGAAAATCTACTTGGGAGGAGGGGGCTCCGCCCCCCCCCCCCCCCAACACACCCCTCCAAAACATGTCTACCGTCCCATTCAACGAAATATAACTATATACATTTTCCAGTGTCCGCCCCCTCCCAGAAAATTCTACCGCCGCCCCCCCTCCCCCAAAAAAAATATCAAGTACCCCCACCCCTCGCCGGGGAGGAAAAAGTCTGAAAGAAACACTGGTCACATTTGTAGATCATACAAACTAAAGGATGAACCTGGGCGGGGCTTCGCCCCTACCGGAAGAGATGCATACAAAAAACTGTGCACGCTAAACACTTTTTTTAAATTAGAAAAAGTTACTCCCTCCGGGGAGGAAAAAGTCTGAATGAAACACTGGTGTCGCGCTTATCCACTACCCGAAGAAGTGCATGAAAGAAACTCTGCACGCAAACCACTTTTTAGATTAGACACATGAATAAGGCTGTAATTTTATTATAGAGTATCGATGACGACATTTCTTTTGAGTTGCGGGGGGGGGGGGGGGTCGGCTTAGACGTGCTACCGGGGGTGAGGCTTCGCCCCTACCCGAAGAATTGTATGAATGAAACTCTTCACGCAACCCACTTAGATTAGACAAAATTGGCTTTTTTAAATTCAATGTTTACTCGAGAATCAATGACGTCATATTACTGTGTGCACTCTCCGGCTTGATACTATTTTCTACTATATGCTAAATGTGACGTCATATTTCGTTTCCGTCTTACTGTGCATGTTTTTAATTTGTTTGTGTTTTCTCTATAGCGTTCTTGTCAGATACATACACAGATAGATAGATACACAGATAGATAGACAGACAGCGAAACTATTATTATAGACGAGAAAAATGGCCCGTTAAGGAAGGATACAACGGGCGCTAGGTTGATAGTGCTGTCTATTTTCTCTAAACTAAAACCATAACCAAAATCACCTTAATTCAATTTAACCGGAAACGAAAAATGACATTGAAAACGGATTTTTATCCAGAATCGGTACTTATTTTATACAAAATATAGTCATATGCATATCCCTAAACCATGCACCTAATCTCATTCATGACAAAAGTCGCATTTAGAGTTTCTTTCAGGCAACTCTACTTGGGAGGAGGGGGTTCCACCCCCACCCCCCCCCCCACACACACCCTAAAACATGTCTACCGTCTCATTCAACGAAATATAATTATATACTTTTTCCAGTGTCCGCCCCCTCCCAGAAAATTCTACCCCCGCCCCCAAAAAAAATTCAAGTACCCCCACCCCTCGCCGGGGATGAAAAAGTATGAAAGAAACACTGGTTGCATTTGTAGATCATACAAACTAAAGGAAGAACCTGGGCGGGGAAGAGATGCATGAGAAAACTGTGCACGCTAAACACTTTTTAGATTAGAAAAAGTTCCCCCCTCCGGTGAGGAAAAAGTCTGAAAGAAACACTGGTGTCGCGCTTAGCCACTACCCGAAGAATTGCATGAAAGAAACTCTTTACGCAAACCACTTTTTAGTTAGACAAAATTGGCTTTTTAATTCAATGTTTACTCGAGAATCAATGACGTCATATTACAGTGTGCACTCTCCGGCTTGAGATTATTTTCTACTATACGCTAAATGTGACGTCATATTTCGTTTCCGTCTTACTATGAAAGTTTTTAATTTGCTTGGGTTTTCTCTAGATCGTTCTTGTCAGATACATACACAGATAGATATATTTTCAGACAGCGAAACTATTAGTATTAATAATTTGACATGTGAATTTTATGTACTGAGAAGACTGCTGTAAATCCAATGACGTATATACAACGTGGCTGATGTATCTTTGTAACGTGAAATGTGATTGTTTATGTATTGTGAAGACTGCAGTGAATTTAATGACGTACATGCAACGTTGTTGATGTGTATTTGAAATTTGAATTTTTATGTATTGTAAACATTGTTGTTGATGTCTATATGAAACTTGAAATGTGAATTTAATTTATTGTGAACGACGCTGTGATTTTACTTGAACCATGAACCATGAACCATTCAATTATATAATTATCTAGTTGAACCATGAACCATGAACCATTCAATTATATAATTATCTAGTTGAACCATGAACCATGAACCATTCAATTATATAATTATCTAGTTGAACCATGAACCATCAATTAAAAAACCAAAAACTATCTAGTTGAAACAGGGGCGTAGCGAGGGGGGGGGGGGGGGCGGGGGGTGCGGACCGCACCGGGTGACACCATTTAGGGGGGTGACACCAAGGCAAAAAATAGCAAAATATACAGAGAAAAACTCGAGGGGGGGGTGCAAATCGAAAGTTTGAGGGGGGGGGGGGGTGCACATCGAAAATTTGAAAGTTTGTCCCTGGGAAGGGTCTCTATGCCTCTGGGGGGGGGGATGACACCATTAAGTGTCGCACCGGGTGACACCCGACCTCGCTACGCCACTGAGTTGAAACCAATGTACTGATACTCGGACAAACTGTCTTTGTTCTTGAATTTTACAAGTTTTTATTGCAAGCTTTTAGAAAAAAAATGTGGGGATTACTAGGCGTGAATGGTAGGGGAGGAAAGGGGGTTGTAGCTAGGTGGGTAGGTGTAGCTAGGGAAAGGTTGACTATAGCTGGCTGGGGGCTTAGGGGCTGTATAGCTGGGATATGGGCTTGGAGCAGGGCTAGGATACTGGGCAGGGGCGTAGCTAGCTGGGGGCTTGGGAGCAGTATAGCTGGGATATGGACTTGGAGCAGGGCTAGGATATTGGGCTGGGGCGTAGCTAGCAGGGGGCTTTGGAGCAGTATAGCTGGGATATGGGCTTGGAGCAGGGCTAGGATATTGGGCAGGGGCGTAGCTAGCTGGAGGCTTTGGAGCAGTATAGCTGGGATATGGGCTTGGTGCAGGGCTAGGATACTGGGCAGGGGCGTAGCTAGCTGGAGGCTTTGGAGCAGTGTAGCTGGGAAATGGGCTTGGAGCAGGGCTAGGATATTGGGCAGGGGCGTAGCTAGCTGGAGGCTTTGGAGCAGTATAGCTGGGATATGGACTTGGAGCAGGGCTAGGATATTGGGCTGGGGCGTAGCTAGCAGGGGGCTTTGGAGCAGTATAGCTGGGATATGGGCTTGGAGCAGGGCTAGGATACTGGGCAGGGGCGTAGCTAGCTGGAGGCTTTGGAGCAGTATAGCTGGGATATGGGCTTGGTACAGGGCTAGGATACTGGGCAGGGGCGTAGCTAGCTGGGGGCTTTGGAGCAGTATAGCTGGGATATGGGCTTGGTGCAGGGCTAGGATACTGGGCAGGGGCGTAACTAGTTGGAGGCTTTGGAGCAGTATAGCTGGGATATGGGCTTGGTGCAGGGCTAGGATATTGGGCAGGGGCGTAGCTAGCTGGAGGCTTTGGAGCAGTATAGCTGGGATATGGGCTTGGAGCAGGGCTAGGATATTGCGCAGGGGCGTAGCTAGCTGGGGGCTTGGGAGCAGTGTAGCTGGGATATGGGCTTGGAGCAGGGCTAGGATACTGGGCTGTGGCGTAGCTAGCTGGGGGCTTGGGAGCAGTGTAGCTGGGATATGGGCTTGGAGCAGGGCTAGGATATTGGGTGGGGGCGTAGCTTGGAGGAGCTGCCACGTAGCCTGGAGCCGGATTATAAACAGCAGCTTTGGGCGTGGCGTCAGGGTTGTACTGGTAGTAGTTTTTATCCTCGTAGGGTTGGCTGGGCTTGTCGTAGCTGGTTGGCGGGATGTATCTGGTTTCTTCCTTCGGTTTCTCTGAGTAGCCTTCAGCTGACGAATGCAGAACCAAATCTGTGAAGTTGACAGTAAATAGTGTTAACAAAAATAGTAAATAGTGTTAACAAAAATAGTAAATAGTGTTAACAAAAATAGTAAATAGTGTTAACAAAAATAGTAAATAGTGTTAATAAAAATAGTAAATAGTGTTAACAAAAATAGTAAATACTGTTAAGAGAAAAGTAAATAGTATTAACAAACAAGTAAATAGTGTAAACAAAAAAGTAATATTTTTAACACAAAAAATAATCGTATTAAAAAAGAAAATAGTTTAAAAAAAAAAGAAATTAAAAAATTCATAAAAAACGTGATGGCGCAGCTATTGAACGTACGTGATGGCGCAGCTATTGAACGTGATGACGCGTGTGGTGTGGTTGGCTAGACATGCCTACTAATTCGGTCCAAATTTTAATTAATTCATAAAAAATTAATTAGGCATCCAATTAAGTCAAATTTAATTTCAGATTGCATTGTCTTCATGTCTTAACCCACGTGTCAAATGTGAATCGTATCGGTCAAGTAGAAGTTTCCGAATTTTCACTCCTGCGTTTTGATCTAGACTGACGACAGAGCGACGACAGAGGAAGTGAGTTAAATAAAAGCTTGTAAAAAAAATTCATAAAAAACGTTTTAATAACAAGCTTTTATGTAATAATGCACTAAAAAGTAGAAAATAAATTATAGACTACTATTTAAATAACTATAAAGAAAAGCGTGTGTCACTTTAGTATCTATTGGATACCTTTACTAATGTTAAGGAAGACACCCACGCTTTTCTTTATAGTTATTTAAATAGTAGTCTATAATTTACTAGGCATGCTGCCCAGCTTCGCTTAGGCTTTCGAAAACATTGAGAATTTGCATGCTTAATTAATTCGCCTGAGGGTCGGTCTACGACCTCAAGAGTTATGAAGAGGTTTAATCCGTGGACATTTTTTTTCGATTTATAGCTCATATAAGGTACCGGTCAGTCGAGGTCAGTTTTGACCCCCTCATCGTAGACTTTTCGGCCAACCGGCCCCCGTGTTCTGTCGCCCCAAGGCAAGATCCTGCCAAATTTGAAGCGCCTGCGGCGCCGGGAAGTGCCCTATCGGACACCCGACAATCTAGATCTAGATCTAGATTCCTAAAAGAATTTTTTTTTAAGTTTAGCCCGAGCATAATAAAAATAAATACATTAACCAAGTTGACTTGGTGTGTCTCGAACCCGCACCACCTGCGTGGTTTAATGTACACTAACATCTTCGCTATTTAGGCAGATGACGTCAATAGTTAATGTATAACCAATAGTGACGTCACAGTTTTATGCGTTCTTTTTCACATATATTAATGCTTTTCCGGTTGCATAAATAATACTGTTTCTCTACATTCGAATACGCCTTAAATTTTTATTTTTCTTCTTTAAATAAAATTGTGGTTATACATTTAAAACATCTAACATATTATTTTCAACAAAAGTCCGTAAAAAATTCTCGATATATCGCTGCCGATTCTGACGTGATGTCCGGCGAAAATTTTTTGCGGACAGAGAAAGAGAGAGAGAGAGAGAGAGATGTGCGCACATTGGGCTTTTATAAATTAGGATTTTCTACTTTTTAGTGCATTATTACATAAAAGCTTGTTATTAAAACGTTTTTTATGAATTTTTTTTCAGTACATTACATGTTTTATTTACAATAGAGTTACATGACTAAAAACCATTGCGCGCCTACTGAACATCACGTTCAGTAAGCGCGCAATGGTTTTTGAACGCAGCCATTGAACGTGATGGCGCAGCTATTGAAGGTGATGACGCGTGTGGTGTGGTTGGCTAGACATGCCTACTAATTCGGTCAAAATTTGTATTAATTCATAAAAAATTAATTAGGCATCCAATTAAGTCAAATTTAGTTTCAGATTGCATTGTCTTCATGTCTTGACCCACTTGCCAACTGTGAATCGTATCGGTCAAGTAGAACTGTCCGAATTTTCACTCCAGCGTTTCGATCTAGACTGACGACTTACGACTGGCAACTGACGACTGGCGACAGACAGAGGAAGTGAGTTAAATAAAAGCTTGTAAAAATAGGCCTACTGTTAACAAAAAAGGTAAATACTGTTAAGAAAAAAGTAAATAATGTTTACAAAAATGCAAAGTCTTAATGAAAAAAAGTAATCGTTTTAACAAAATAAAAAGTAAATGGTGTCTAGAAAAACGTAAATAGTGTTAACAAAAAAGTTTTAAAATGTCAATAAAAGAAGTAAATACAACCTGCTTTTTAAAATACCAACATTAGCCTAACGTTTAAAAAACATAACTCCATAAGGTGAGTATAGCGAAGATAAATAAAATGTAATCAAGTTTCCAATTAGGTAAGTCTTGCATGTGGAACAAATGGGACTAAGGACGTAGGCATGTAGTATATACAGGTAACCCGATTGTGAATTAGACTTTTAGATTATCTCAGGTGCATTAAAGTATTCGGCCAATGAAGTTTATGTACGTGAAATTAAAACTGTTTCCATGGGTACTCACTTCTCACGGAGTAGTCAAGCGGATTGCTGGCACTGCAGGCGATCCACTGGACCGTAACGGAGTAGGGGGAGAGGGGGTAGCCCCCGCTCACGGCGATGGAGAAGCCGTATGACGTCACATTGATGGCCTCCACCTGTGAAGTAGATTATGGCATATGACATCCTCACATATAATCAGCACATGGAATCAAAATATGTCATGAACACATGACATCACCACATGACATCAATTATTGAAACCAATACATGACACCAACATATAACACATAACACCACTAAATGACATTAATTCTTGAAACCAAGACATGACCCCAACACACCAACACATGACACCTGGACATAACACCACCACATGACATCACCACATGACATCAATTCTTGAAACCAAGACATGACACCAAGACATGACACCAACACATAACACCAACACATAACACCAACTCTGACACCAAACCATGACAGCCCACACCACCACACCTGACCTCACCTGAACTGACCCCAGCAGCATCTGCCCCAGGCCCTTGATGCCCACTGTGACGACGGGCAGACCGTAGAGCCTCTCCACGGGGAAGTACACCCTGCGGCTCAGGTAGTTCCCGTAGGAGCCGTAACTGCCCAGAGCCGAGCAGAGACACAGCAGGAAGGACAGCCCATCTAGGCTGAGAGAGCAGATCTCTATCTTCTCCACACCTGTCACACCTGGGATTAGGGAAATCTATTAGTTACACCTGGAATTAGTGAAACATGTTTTAATCACACCTGGGATTAGTGAAATCTTAGTTACACCTGGGATTAGTGAAATATTTTTAGTTACACCTGGGATTTGTGAAATCTATTAGTTACACCTGGGATTAATGAACTTTTTTTAGTTTCACCTGGAATTAGTAAAATCTATTAGTTACACCTGAGATTAATGACATATTTTTGGTTACACCTGGAATTAGTGAAATATTTTTTAGTTACACATGGGATTAGTGAAATCTCTTTTAATTGGGAACCGGAAATTTTCCCGAATGACCCTTACCCAAAAGCCATTTTCCAAATGGACACTTGCCCGAATGCGACAAAAGCCCGAGTTGACGATTGCCCAAATGTGACAAATGCCCGAAAACCACTTTTTATTTGTCGCATTTGGAAAAGTGTCAATTCGGGAAAATGTCCTTTGGGCTAACGACATTCGGGCAAGTGACTTTCGAGAAAACGTCCGGCTCCCGTCTTTTTCACATGTACTTTCATTCATTATACATAATACAAAACGTCTTATTACAATTTTATTTTAAACCTGAAAAATGTGTAATTAAAAGGCGATTCAACGCTCTGTTAAATAGAAGTTGTTTTTTTTTTGGTGGGGTGGGTTGAGGGGTATGGGCTTATCACTAGAGCTGAACTAAATTTAGGATTAGGAAAAATCATAATATAAATATTATAAGGAGCCTGGATGTTATGTAGCGTACAATGAGACACATCAAATCAAACATTCTTCATTTTCTTTCATCTAGCCTATATCTGTAGCAGACCTCCAACATTTTTAAAAATAAATGTATTTTAAACATTTAAAATAATAATAATAATAATAATAATAATAATAATAATAATAATTTATTTTGTAATTTAATACAGTTTCAAAGACAAGATCCTATATATTATATAGTAAGTAAATGAAGGAACTAGAATGGCATGATAAATAGACCAAATTGGGAGGAGATATATAACTTTGTTACTTATGACATTTTTTTTTAAAATAATTTTATTTAAATTAAATTGTTTTTTTCCAGATATATTATAATTTACAACGTCAGTTTTCCTTGCAACGTTTGTTTTACTATTACAGTTTTTATTATAGGCTTGTGAGGACTGATACAGATTTACAATAATAATTCTTATTTCTGACATGTACATTCATTATTACAGATGGTTTACTTTTACATAATATTAAACCTAAAAAACAAATATGTAATTAAATTGTGATTCAACGGATTCTTTATTATCGGTGTGGTGGGTTAAGGGGATTCGCTTATAAGTAGAGCTGAATTAAATTTGGGATTAAATAAAAATAAGTTTATATAAATGTTGTAAGCAGATAAATAAAAAGTACTAAAAAATGCACTTAAAACGTTTAAATAATAAGCTTTTAAGTAATAGTGAACTAAAACGGAGAAAATTAATGATTTTCTTTTGTCATTGGGTCTTGACCCACGTGCCGAATATCAGAGAAATTGATCGGTCTAAAGTGCCCCATATTTCGCTGTCCTGATTCGATCGAGCTACCCCCCCCCCCCCCCCCCCATGCCTACGCCACTGGCCTATTATATTTTAAATGTGTCGGATATTAAACTATTTAGTTATTTCTTTGCTTTGTCACTAATATCGTTCAACGTGTAGTAAAGCATATTGCGTTTTGATCAATGCTATTTTATAAAATATTTTTCTCGAACATGAATAACATTAAAAATATATAGGCCTATATTTCACGAGTAACGGGTAGCGGCGGTTAGTAATTACATAAAATGTTGTTATTAAAACTTTTTTGGCAATCTTTTTTTCAGTACTTTAAATAATTACTTTCTCGTATGTACGAAGTATAGAGAAAGTATTGTAATCGTGCACAAAATCAACATGAAATTTTGACAGTTTTCACCGTTTTACTCCTCAGTCCTTCATCACATCCGGAGTAAAGAGGACTTATTTTAATCAGGCAAAAATTATAAATACAAATATATAAACATTTTGGCGTTTTATGCGTTATCGAGTCGTAAAAACTGGACTTTGCAATTCTGCCCGTTGTCTGTGTGTGTGTGTGTCTGTGTGTAAACACGATAACTTGAGTACCGTTACAGCTAGGTTGATGAAATTTCATATATAAGTATTTTATCAGAATCGTAGATCCGTATCAACTTTTGAGCAATTTCCGATAACCGCAAGTGGTACTTTTTTTTACTATGAATTTTTAAAAAGCCTATAACTTGAGTACTATTTCAGATAGATAAATGAAATTTCACGTGTAAGTAAAAGATCTAATTCACTACCTGCTATCAAATTTTGAGTAATTTCCGTTAATTGAAAGTACTAATTTATGCTATTTCCGATTTCTCAAAAAAACGAATGTAAATTTATAAATTACAAATAATATTCGGCACTATTATGCACGTTTTATTTTGCGTTCACAGGTGGGCAATTCTTTTTTCTACGATATTTTATTCTATTTTACAAAGTTTAAGTATTTAAAATGGATTAAAATTCATGTCTATATCCTGAGTTCCCATCCCCCTTTTTTTATAAAAGAATATTCGAGAAAGTTTAGGGGAGATCGCTCCGGGTTTATTTTTAATTTACAATAGAGTTGCATGACTAAAAACTGTGGCGCACCAAATAAACTCAAGAACGCGCGTTTGTAGTGAGGAATAGTTGGATAAGACTGCCTACTAATTTGAGAAAATTTTAAATTAATCTATAAAAATTAAGTCAAATTTAATGTCCAATATTGCATTGTCTTCAAGCTTGACCCACGCGCCAACTTTGAAACAAATCTGTCAGAAGTAGCCACAATTTGCATGACCGTTTTAAACTATGATGACAATTAGACATGACTGACGACAGAGGAAGAGAGTGATAGATTTAATAAAAGAATTCTTAGTTTTTTTTTGTTTTTTTTAAAATCCATTACAACAAATTTCAGATCTCTTTAACTCTTTAAATACTGAACTTGTTACTTTGTTACTTCATTTAGTAAACATAATGAATAAGCCTTTTAACATAGGATTAAATAAATACAATTGACCAGTTTCACTTGAACTGGCTATGTCAAACAATGTTTTTGTAAATTTACCAAGACATACAAGAAAATCTTTAAAGACCATTACTCTAAGGACTGAATCATATCTTGAAGTCTACGTCGAGCTAGCTGAACACGTTGTTCTTGTCTATGGATGTCATCAGATGATACCAAAACCTGCTGAATGTGGGGTTGCTGAGTGTCCATGTTGATGCTTGGATTCTTCATGATGGCTTGTTTGCTGGCACCCTGCCCAACAACAGCAGAGTTTCTTCCAGGCATCTCTTCGGGGGGGGCTAAGCCCCCCCCCCCCCCCGAGAAATTTTTACCGCCCCCCTCCGAACGAAACGAATTTTATATAATTTATATAGAAAATATATACTTTTAACAGTGTCCGCCCCCCCCCCCCCGAAGAAAGTCTACCGCCCCCCCCCCCCCCCCCACGAAAATTTCAAGTGCCCCCCCGGAGAAAAAAGTCTGGAAGAAACACTGAACAACAGGTCCTGTGTTTATATGTAACGCTGCAGAAATACTCTGTAAAACATTCTCTGTGGACAGCTCTGGACCAACACTCTGCATTTGTTTGGGTAGTTCCATAGATGGTATAACTTCTTCACTACTGTCACAAGCATGAAGACCGTGGAGACGTTTTTCCCAAAATATCTGCTTGGGCTGGTCCCAAATTCCATGCTTGAGTTCACCTTTAGATTTACTCTCTTGTCTGTTCCTTATAACTGTGACAGGTTGTTTGAAAATGGAAGCTGTTTGTCTAATAGGTAGTACAAGACTGGCATCATGGCGCAACACCTCTAACAAAATCATAGGAGGAACCTTTTCTACAAGCACTGTACACTGCACGTCCAGTACGGAAATCAAATGCACTTAAATCAAGGGCTTCACCAAGAATTCTGGCTAACTGTGGTTTACTCCGAATCTTTTTACCATCTGGCGTGAAATAATAAACATCTGTTTTTCCGGCAGATAAACCCGACTGTCTTACAACTTCTTCCCTTTTCCACCCCGGAGGCAGGGCCATGTTTAGGAATTAATTCTTAGTGAGTTTAAAAATATTTGGTGCTTATTACTGATTAATCATAAATGCTAAACAACATACATATCTGAACTTATTTTTGTAAAGTGGTATGGAAATCTAAGGGGTTCTAATTTTATATTATTATTACTTTTAAAAAACGTGTTTTATTTTTGAAGCATATTTTAATTACATTTGTTTTGTTATAAACTGTTGTAATAATTTCTTTTACTAATATTAGATATAGTTCTAAACACAGTTATATTAAAATTTAATTAGATTTGAAAAACGTATTATGAATTAATTCCCTTGAAATATGTTTTTAGAACGATGGGAGGCAACAACAACGGCTAAACTAATAATTGTTTTTCATTCTTTTATACTTAGAAAATATCTCAGCGGACACCCTCGCAGCGACAGTTTCTTGTTTTAAAACGTGAGTTTTTAGCCAGAACATAAACTCATTAAAAGTAATGATAATGTACAACAAGGATGGAAACTTCTGGAAATATATAAAAATCAAATAGAATGAAATCTACTTACATGACCGTCTTGAAATATCTGAAAAAAGATTTTAAAAACAGATGGTTATCGCATATTGTTATCTGTGGTAGACACGCGTGTATGTGTGTGTATGGGTGTGTGTGTGTGTGTGTGATTCGAACAAATCTCGAAGTCAGGCAAAGCGCGCACTGGATGGCCAGTAGCCAAATGGCCAATATCACTACCCATTGACCGGCCAACGTGCATAGTGTTCCTTGATTTCAGGCATTGGCCGGACAGTTCGCAAACCGATCTCACAAGACTGACCACCCCAACTGTCTCACAAGACTGACCACCCCACCTGTCTCACAAGACTGACCCCCCACCCCCACCTGTCTCACAAGACTGACCACCCCACCTGTCTCACAAGACTGACCACCCCACCTGTCTCACAAGACTGACCAGCTGTCTCACAAAACTGACCACCCCACCTGTCTCACAAGACTGACCACCCCACCTGTCTCACAAGACTGACCACCCCCACCCCACCTGTCTCACAAGACTGACCACCACACCTGTCTCACAAGACTGACCACCCCACCTGTCTCACAAGACTGACCACCCCACCTGTCTCACAAGACTGAACCACCACACCTGTCTCACAAGACTGACCACCCCACCTGTCTCACAAGACTGCCCCCCCACCTGTCTGACAAGACTGACCCCCCTCCCCCTCACTTTTCTCACAAGACTGACCACCCTACCTCCAATCTTCACCTCCAGCCCCACGTAGTCCTCAAGTAGCTGGTCCTTGTAGCTGTCGAACACCTTGCTGTCAGCTGTAGCAGGGTCGGCGTCGGGTTCCTCAGCGGCGTACCCGTCGTTGGGGTTGGCCAGTCTGGTACCGTCAGGTTGGGTGTAGACCTCATCAGACGCCACAAGATGCAGGAGACCCGCGACAACAACACTCATCAGAATCAACGGCTTCATCTTCTGGGCATACACACAAATATATGACGTCATTTGATAAGGATATAAAAACAATTTGTATTGTTTTCTTTAGGATCAAAAGTGCCTATTGCGTTGCGCATGGGAGAAAAAATCTTTTAAAAATACACAAGCAAACGTAAATGAATTCTTCATTTAATTTTGTATCGTATTAAATTAAAAAAAAAACAACATATTGTTGGCCTTTCCAATTCCAGTGGCGTAACGATCTAGGTTTCATCCTTGCGCTAACTCTATATGTTAGATCTCCCCTCTTTTTTATCTATAAAAAAATCGTGTATTTTTTCTTTGATGTCATTTCTACCCCCTTATATATTTCTTAATTTAAATTTATAAACTCTACATTGTCAGTAATGCATTAATAATTTAAGTTGGTGTCACCATCTTGCCCTATTCGGTAATATCCGATGTAGCTCGCAAGACGTCTCCACCTTGTGACGTTAATAATTTTATTCAAGAAAAAACACTTGATACATTGTACTTGTGAATGGGTTACTGTATACAAATGTTACTTTAACATTAACGGATATACCGACATAGTAAAAAAATACTAAGTCTTGTAATTTAACAGATTTTCAAAGTATTATTTAATTTAAAACTACCTATTAAACCTTTGCATTATTTTACAAATATCTTCTCAGCTTCTTCAGTAAATCAAAAGAAGAACAATCTATAGAGTAAAACTGTAAATTAAGAATAACACGGCATACCTTTTATCAATGTTAAAATCGTTGCCTCAGTTACCCACTTGTCTATTTCCGTATACCGGAAGTGTGGTATATGTCTCAACACTTAATGAGACCAATGTTTGTATGAACAGAATCGCTGAAACTATTTCTTTAAAGTCTTGGTGAGATGACTAGTATGTTTGGTTATTTTTGTAGCTCCAGGTTAAGATTTTGTATGCAGATTTAGCCCCGCCCAGTAGTTATGTACGCTCCACCCACTAATATTTATGGAGAGTTATGCAGATTACTGGCATGAAGTAATGGTTTCATTAAGAATTTTTTTTTTTGCTGAATTAAAACGCCCATTGCATGACGTTAGTGGATGGTGGATTAATCTGATTGAACTGGTGGTGTGATGTGTGATCCGAATTTTGGTGGTCTCATGTTTGGTGGGCAGGTATTTGGTGGTCTCATGTTTGGTGGGCAGGTATTTGGTGGTCTTGTATTTGGTGGTCTGATGGTCTGGTATTTAGTGGTCTCATATTTAATTTGCTGATTGGTGTTCTGTTGTTTGTTATCTGATGTTTTGGTAGGTATGTTTTAATGGTCTGGTGTTTTGGAGGGCTGGTGTATGGTGGGTTGGTGTTTGGTGGGTTGGTGTTTGGTGGGTTGGTGTTTGGTGGGTTGGTGTTTGGTGGTTTGGTGTTTGGTGGGTTGGTGTTTGGTTGGTTGGTGTTTGGTGGGTTGGTGTTTGGTGGGTTGGTGTTTGGTGGGTTGGTGTTTGGTGGGTTGGTGTTTGGTGGGTTGGTATTTAGTGGGTTGGTGTTTGGTGGACTGGTGTTTTGTGTGTTGGTGTTTGGTGGACTGGTGTTTGGTGAGCTGGTGTTTGGTGAGTTTGTGTTTGGTGGGTTGGTGTTTGGTGGGTTGGTGTTTAGTGGGTTGGTGTTTAGTAGGTTAGTGTTTAGTGGGTTGGTGTTTAGTGGGTTGGTGTTTAGTGGGTTGGTGTTTAGTGGGTTGGTGTTTGGTGGGTTGGTGTTTGGTGGTTTGGTGTTTGGTGGGTTGGTGTTTGGTGGGTTGGTGTTTGGTGGGTTACTGTTTGGTGGGTTGGTGTTTGGTGGGTTGGTGTTTGGTGGGTTGGTGTTTGGTGGGTTGGTGTTTGGTGGGCTGGTATTTGGTGGGTTGGTGTTTGGTGGATTGGTGTTTGGTGGTTTGGTGTTTGGTGGGTTGGTATTTGGTGGGTTGGTGTTTGGTGGGTTGGTGTTTGGTGGTTTGGTGTTTGGTGGGTTGGTATTTGGTGGGTTGGTGTTTGGTGGGTTGGTGTTTGGTGGTTTGGTGTTTGGTGGGTTGGTATTTGGTGGGTTGGTGTTTGGTGGGTTGGTGTTTGGTGGGCTGGTGTTTAGTAGGTTGGTGTTTGGTGGGCTGGTGTTTGGTAGGTTGGTGTTTGGTAGGTTGGTGTTTGGTGGACTGGTGTTTGGGGGGTTGGTGTTTGGTAGGTTGGTGTTTAGTGGGTTGGTGTTTGGTGGGTTGGTGTTTGGTGTGTTGGTGTTTGGAGGGTTGGTGTTTGGTAGGTTGGTGTTTGGTGGGTTGGTGTTTGGTGGTTTGGTGGGTTGGTGTTTGGTGGGTTGGTGTTTGGTGGTCTGATATATGGTGGCTTGATTGGTGGTCTGTTGTTGGTTATCTGATGTTTTGGTAGGTATGTTTTACTGGTCTGGTGTTTTGGAGGGCTGGTGTTTGGTGGGCTGGTGTTTGGTGCGTTGGTGTTTGTGGGTTGGTGTTTGGTGTGCTGGTGGGCTGGTGTTTGGTTGGTTGGTGTTTGGTTGGTTGGTGTTTGGTGGGTTGGTGTTTGGTGGGTTGGTGTTTGGTGGGTTGGTGTTTGGTGGGTTGGTGTTTGGTGGGTTGGTGTTTGGTAATCTGGGCTTTGGTGGTCTGGTGTTTAGTTTGATGTTTGATGGGCTGATGTCTTATGTGTGAAATGATGTAGTTCGTGATATTTTGATGTATGCCTCGCGTACTTGCTTACTGTGGACTATCCACGTAGTAGTTTGATGTGTAGTGAAATCTAAACGAGAGTACGGAAGCCAAATGCCAAATTTTATTTCCCTAAAATGGATGTGTGCCCTATGCGACAATTGCCCAAATGAACGTTTTGCCCAAATGGGACAGTTGCTTGAATTGTATAATTGCCATCAAGCCAAATGCCCGTAGTCCGTTTGCCTGACAATGCCATATTATATATTTTTTGAACATTTTTTGAAGTTTTCTAAAATGTAACCTTTAAAAATCTGTCCATGGATACTGTGTCATGCATTTAATTATGTAATGTTTGTTTGTGGACTATAGAAATTGACTTCTTATGTACTCTTTGATTGTTAGTAAAAAAATAAATGTTGCCAAAAAATGCATCTTAAACGACATTTTAAATTAGTAATTAATAAATTAATTTAAATATTATTACACGCCTTAAAAAGCGATCATTTAAATCTGTCCCATAAGCTGGGTTGAGCTGTGTTAAGCTGGTTGATTAGTTTACACGGGTAACTTTGCACACTTTCTTTTTGCGCATTTTCTGTGAGCGCATTGACTATTTGCGCATTCTTTATGTGCGCATTTTTTTTTGCCGCGCATTTTTTTCCGTTTTTCAGACCACTCAACATCAGATCATCAGACTACCGAACACCAGAACATAACTGCTTGGTTGTGCATACTGCAAGTAAGGTGTATCTATAAATTTGATTTTGTCCATTCAAGTCCTCGTCTCCAACCAATCACATCGCTCTCAACCCCTCCCCTCCCCGTGTAATGTCTTTGAATTTGATATCAGAAAATATCGATAGATTGCATACGATTACAACAAATAACGCCTTTCTATTCACCAGCACATTTTAAAAGGGTGGGGGGGGGAGTAGGAATTTATCTTGATTTGAGTCAGAAATGTGTCCCTGAGTCTACTCAGCTCTAATGCGTACCTGGCGTTATTGAGCAAAAGTAAAAGCTTGGTGGACAATGTGCTAAACACTCTACTTTTTCTGCTATCCCGTTATGTTTTTTTGCTATCACAAAACAGAATGGTTGTGGTAACATCCTTGTATTTGGTGCTCTTTTTGATAACGAGTAGTTGCTACAGATTGTGTTGGTATACAACAATAGCTACTGATTGTGTTGGTATACAACAAGAGGTACTGATTGTGTTTGTATGTGACAATAGCTACTGATTCTGTCGGTATACAACAACATCTACTGATTGTGTTGGTATACAACAATAGCTACTGATTGTGTTGGTATACAACAATAGCTACTAATTGTGTTGGTATACAACAATAGCTACTGATTATATTGTTATAAAATATAATTTTAACTTTTGCATTTTAATTGTCTAAAAGTAATTTGTGGCGCTGAATTTTGTTTCACCTTCATATAAGTACAAATTATATGTTTATCGTAAATTTGTGTTTATATCTGATAACAATGCAATACGTTTCCTATTTACATCTAGTTAAGATAATGCACTGCTGATTAAAAATTATTACAAGTTGGGCATAGTGCTGACCACACGATCCCCTTATATGGTGACATCATAAAAACAGATACACTCTACTTCCCCATTTGTCTGGGGCGAGAACGGGAATAGATTATGACAATTCTAAAAAAAAAAAAAAAAATTCTTAATATTAATCACTTAGCCCCAATACCACAGTATTAAATACATAGAAATGTCATCAAGCTATGCAATTTTGAATCCAACAAGACTTCAACTTTAAAAAATATTTGAATACATTTTGAAATTAATTATTCTTCTTTTTAAAAAAAAATGATTAAGTATGTAATGGTTACGTTTGTTTGTTTAATTTATAATACTGGCAACAATTAAAGAATGTCTTTTACCGTAATTGAATGGCAGTTACAAAGACTGATCTAGTTTGGTTTCATGATTTTATATTTCTTACAGTTGCTTCTTTAAAGTTACTAAGTTTGTAGATTCAAAACTATGATTTTTAATAACTACATTTTTTTGAAATGTGATTACTTTATTTCGGCATTCATCATTTTATTCATTATTTTGAAGAAGTATTTTTCTTTATTTTCTGATATAAAAAAACACAAGCAAGCACTATAAAAAACACATTTATTGCACATTACGATTATACATACACACATTAAATTACAAAAAGTACAAGAATCTTTGAGGTTAAAACAGTTTATTTGTAATACCATTAGATAAAAATTATCTGCAATACATTCCATCAAATACAACCCAGGCATCTGACGGTTCCATATTGTCACCTGTTCATGACGTCAGAGCTAGGCGGGTTTAGCGTACCCGTACTGTGGGACGGGCTCGTCATCTTGGTACCTGCCGTAGCTGTAGTCCGGCTTGAAGTCGTAGGGGAGGGGACAGCTGAAGAAGCTGGAGCTGACGGACAGCGGTGCCAGGAAGTTTTCTGAGACCGTCTGCAGCGTCAGGCTGTTCCTTGTCACGTCCTCGGCCATCAGGTCGAAGTCCGCGCCCAGCAGGAAGTTCATACCAGAGGCGGCGACAGCAACGGCTGAGGAGGGGGATTGGTGAAAGTTAGGTGGATTGTCGAATGTGGAAGGTTGATAGTGGAAGGTTGATGGTGGGCTGCTGATTTTTTTTATAGTGGATCGTGTTGGAAGGTGTATGGTGGTTGGTGGATAGCGGGTGATGGATCGTGAAAAATGAAAGGTGTCTGGTGGATGGTGAAAGGTGGATGGTGGATAGTAGATGGGAGATGGTGGATCGTAGAAGGTGAAAGGTGGATGGTGAATGGTGGATTTTGTGATCCCAGCCTTCTCTTTACTAATGGTACCTATTGGGGTCCCAACCTTACCTATTCGGGTCCCAACCTTACCTATTCGGGTCCCAACCTTACCTATTCGGGTCCCAACCTTACCTATACTTTTCCTTTCCTTACCTATTCGGGTCCCAACCTTACCTATACTTTTCCTTTCCTTACCTATTCAGGTCCCAACCTTACCTATACTTTTCCTTTCCTTACCTATTCGGGTCCCAACCTTACCTATACTTTTCCTTTCCTTACCTATTCAGGTCCCATCCTTACCTATACAATTCCTTTCCTTACCTATTCGGGTCCCAACCTTACCTATACTTTTCCTTTCCTTACCTATTCATGTCCCAACCTTACCTATACTTTTCCTTTCCTTACCTATTCGGGTCCCAACCTTACCTATACTTTTCCTTTCCTTACCTATTCGGGTCCCAACCTTACCTATACTTTTCCTTTCCTTACCTATTTGGGTCCCAACCTTACATATACTTTTCCTTTCCTTACCTATTCGGGTCCATATTGGGGTCCCAACCTCACCTATTGGGGTCCCAACCTTACCCATTGAGGTCCCAACCTTACCTATTGGGGTCCAAACCTTACCTATTGTGGTCCCAACCTCACCTATTGGGATCCCAACCTCACCTATTGGGGTCAAAACCTTACCTATTGTGGTCCCAACCTTACCTATTGGGGTCAAAACCTTACCTATTGGTGTCCCAACCTTACCTATTGGGGTCCCAACCTCACCTTTTGGGGTCAAAACCTTACCTATTGTGGTCCCAACCTAACCTATTGGGGTCCCAACCTCACCTATTGTGGTCCCAACCTAACCTATTGGGGTCCCAACCTCACCTATTGGGGTCCCAACCTCACCTATTGTGGTCCCAACCTTACCTATTGGGGTCAAAACCTTACCTATTGTGGTCCCAACCTTACCTATTGGGGTCCCAACCTTACATATTGGGGTCCCAACCTCACCTATTGGGGTCCCAACCTTACCTATTGGGGTCCCAACCTCACCTATTGGGGTCCCAACCTTACCTATTGGGGTCCCAACCTTACCTATTGGGGTCCCAACCTTACCTATTGTGGTCCCAACCTTACCTATTGGGGTCCCAACCTCACCTTTTGGGGTCAAAACCTTACCTATTGTGGTCCCAACCTTACCTATTGGGGTCCCAACCTCACCTTTTGGGGTCAAAACCTTACCTATTGTGGTCCCAACCTTACCTATTGGGGTCCCAACCTCACCTATTGGGGTCCCAACCTCACCTAATGGGGTCCCATCCTTACCTTTTGAGGTCCCAACCTTAATTATTCGGGTCCCAACCTCACCTATTGGGGTCCCAACCTCACCTATTGGGGTCCCAACCTCACCTAATGGGGTCCCATCCTTACCTTTTGAGGTCCCAACCTTACCTATAGGGGTCCCAACCTTACCTATTGGGGTCCCAACCTCACCTCCACTTGTTCCTCACTTACCTGGTCTAGTCACCATCTCTTCAAACATTGCCGGCTCTGACGCCTGACGCTTGCGGTATGACGAGTCAGTGATACACTTGAACAAGTTCGACGCGGAGTCACTCAGTTTACACACTTGCCCAGTGGAGTATCCCCCACGACCTACAGGGGAGACAAGCAATGTATGCCATAAACCAGGGTAGGCAAACAATGGGTAGTAAATTTACTGGCGTTTAAAGTGTGTAGTAATACAAGGGAGGTAACTTCAGTAGAAAAACAAAAACGTTTGAACCCAGCTTTCTATTGATAATTAGGGGATATAACACAAATTAGCAACAATAATATTTTATACAATAACAATGGCAACTATAATTTATAATAATAACACTAATAACTGCATATAATTTAATAATTTTTAAAATTATTTTTTCTTTTAATACAGTTAATTTTTTAGAATACATATCTACTACAATTTAAAATGAAATTGAGCAAGAATAATGACTTCAAGGGTTTTTTGAGTTCTGTAACTACCTTGCAATTAACTAGTCAACTTAATTTGTTTCCCTACATTGAGAATGCTCCACTGGTCCTTTGTCATTCTCGGAAAAATATCTTTTCCACTCCCCACCCAGACTTCTGACACGTTTATTTGACCTTCACCCCTTTTACTGCCATCTTTTGTAATTTTTGTTATAATCATATACATGACATCTCGCAAATATTCATTATGTACATGTTCAAAACCTTTCGTTTTCATTTGAAACTATGTAAAAAATGTGATGTTGATGTACTTGTTTTAATTGCAAATAAAAGTATAAAAAAAAACAAAACCTTGCAATTACTATCGAAGTGTAGCCTACATATTATAAACAGATGTTTCAAAGAGCATTTTGAATCTGAGTGATATGGATACAATTGTAAATCCTTTCGCTCTTTCCTGTTTAATCTTTGTTAATTATTAAAATGGTGTCGTTGCTGTTGTATTTGTTTTGTGATTGAAAATAAAAGTATTAAAAAATATATAACGTGTCTGAGGTTTTATATATATATATATATATATATATATATATATATATATATATATATAAATATATATATATATTATATGATAACAGCATCAAAATAAATATATTGTGCCTTCCCTCAAGTTAACCCTAACCAGTTGGTTTTACTCACAGACATTCTTGTTCAGCTCTGTGGATTAAGAAAATAAATAATATAATAATTGATGCTATGGGGAAACTAGGAGAAGTTAGCGATATATTGGAACTAGATGCAGAAAGGAATTGTAGGATTACAAACAAATCAAGGAAGAAATTATTGTTAACTATTGTGATTTCGAAGGAAGTGACGAAAAGGAAGGAAATGCTAGGAATTATGAGAATAGAAAAGGTAAAAAAATAGTGCAAAATTACGTAAATTAAAAAAAATATGGTGATAGTAATAAATTGTAGTACGAAGGCTGAGACCCAGAGGGAGGATATGATGGTATTTTTATAAACTGGAGACAGGTGGAACCTAGGAAATGTCTAATGTATGGCAGACATTGTGATACAAAGAAATAGTGTAAGAAATTACAAATATTGCAATAGCACAGAACAGTGCAAGAAATGGCTAGTTGCAATACCACGGGATATTGCAAGAAATAACAGAATTTGCAATACCACTGAAAAGTGCAAGAAATGACAGAAATTGCAATACCACATAACAGTGCAAGAAATTACAAATATTGCAATACCACAGAATAGTGCAAAAAATGACAAATTGCAATACCACGGCATATTGCAAGAAATAACAGAAATTGCAATACCACAGAACAGTGGCAGGAATTACAAAAGTTACAATACTACCAAAATGTGCAAAAAATTTAAAAAATTACAATACCACGTGATATTGCAAGAAATGACAGAAATTACAATACCGCGCTCAGTGCAAGAACAGGGTGAAAGAGAGGAGAGTGCAAGAAACCAGAGTGCCATCCCAGACTTACTCTCCGCGATCACTTTAAGCTGCTTCACTCTCCTCTCCAGCTCCTCAATCTCCGTCTCCTTTCTCTGGTAGCTCTTCTTCTCCTGCTTCTCATACTTGTCTCTCTCCTCCTGCTCCTTCTTCTCTCTCAACTTCTGCTCTCTCTGCTCATAAGCCTCCTGCGCTTTCCTCTCACTCGCTGCATACTGCTCTCTCATCTCTTTCTCTTTTTCATCCATCTTCTTCATCATCGCTTTCTTCTTCTCTTCCAACGCGGCGATTTTCACCTTGCTCTTTTTCTTATCTGCTTCTTTTGTCTTCTTCGCTGCATCTGCCTGTTCTAACTTTATCTTATCCTCAATATCCTTCTTATCCTTATTATACTGATCATAAAATTCTTGCATTTTCCTTTCTTGGTCAGCTTTTAGATAATTAATCTCCTCCATAGCTTTTTCGTACTCTTGCGCGTCTTTTTCCTTTTTATCTCTCTCTTCCTTTACCTTTTTTTCGTTATCTAAATGTTCGTGTAGCATTTCGTCTTCGTCTTGACGGTATCTCTCCCGGATGACCTTTTCCTTTCTCGCTCTCTCGTTCTCAATTTCTTTCTTTCTGTCATCGACCATCTGCCTGTATTCGTACTCCTTCATTTCCTCGATCCCTCTCTCTCGCTTCATGTAATCGTCCCGGGCCAATGCTTCTTTCTCTGCGATCTCCGCCCTTCTGTCATTCTGTGCCCTGACTAGTACAGAGAATGTCACCAATATGGCGGCCAGCACCAACAAACAGTGGCTCTTCATGCTGAAGCTGTTGAAGAGAAATTTACTTTTATGTCAAATAGATTTTACTACTAGGGCTTTTCTGGTAGGGTCAGGGGTTTTTAAGTATTTGTGGGTGTTGTAAACTTTTAATAATTAAAATAAATTTGAGTTTGAAAAACATAAATTCGTGAAAACAAATATTTCTATAGGGCTGGTAAGTAGGTCACCAACCAGTTCTACGGCTCAATAAAACCTGCATGAGCCATAGAAATGTTTATTGACCTACTTTCCAGCCCTATATAACTCTGCCAGTTCAGATATACAAATGAAAACCTTATCCTAATTCACATAATTTTTTTTTCAAAGTTCTGGAATTTGTAGTTGTTATAGTCAATCTAATACATTCAACTGTTAAACGTGTATAAGGAATCGCTCAACTCTGGGCTTAACACAGAGGGATGTAGCGTTCGCTTATAACACAATTAAGTAGCTGCCCCAATGAAATAGAGGTTTATTTTTCTTTTGATATTCTAACTTAAAGCTTCTTAAGTAAACTTAGTCGTGCTAAAGAAAACTATACACAAAATGTTCGTAATGTAGAATAAATGACCTAGAAAGAAACTGAGTTGGACAAATTAATTTTATAATCGTGATGAATTAAAAACAGAGCATCGATGATATGAGATGATATATAAATTAAGTAAACTAAATAAATCTAGCGATGTTAAGTGTAACCTCACCGAAATATGTTCGAGCTTCTCAACAAAGTGTGGCTCAGTTGATCCTGCTGTGGTTCGAATCCACGTCACACCATCCATGTGACATCTGATGAGAACATAACGTGATGTCAGATTTACATGTCGTAATCCGGATTAATCAACTGTCAGTCTAAATTGTCTGTCTTCTGATTGGTCAGTTGAAATGTCAATCAAACATGACAGACTAGGGTCGTGACTAGGTTTTTGTTGATGATTCACTTTATTAATGATCTCATTATGTTAATTTATTTAAGGACAGTAGTATCCTCCCAGCAATGTGTTTTAATAAAACAATAATTGTACCCGTAAGTGTCAAGTTGTGTGGGGTTAAATTCATCAAGTGTCAAGTTGTGTGGGGTTACATTCATCAAGTGTCAAGTTGTGTGGGGTTACATTCATCAAGTGTCAAGTTGTGTGGGGTTACACTGAGCAAGTGTCAAGTTGTGTGGGGTTACACTGATCAAGTGTCAAGTTGTGTGGGGTTACACCGTTCAAGTGTCAAGTTGTGTGGGGCTATATTCATCAAGTGTCAAGTTGTGTGGGGCTATATTCATCAAGTGTCAAGTTGTGTGGGGTTACACTGAGCAAGTGTAAAAAAATAGGCAACAAGGATTGAGTTGTAGATGATGGTGATGGGGTATGTAATGGTGGATGGTGATGGAGTATCTGAAGGTGGATGGTGATGGGGTTAAGGTTAGGGTATCTGGTGGATGGTGATGGGGTATGTGATGGTGAATGGTAATTATGTAGTAATAGTGAATAATGATGGGGTATCTGATAGTGGATGGTAATGATGTAGTAATGATGGATGATGATATCTGAAGGTGGATGGTGATGAGGTATATGGTGGTGGATGGTGAGGGTAGTAATGTTGGATGGTGATGATGTAGTAATGGTGGATGATGATGGGGTATATGATGGTGGATGGTGATGGGGTATCTGATGGTGGATGGTGATGAGGCATATAATGGTGGATGGTGCTGAGGCATATAACGTTGGATGGTGATGGGGTATCTGGTGGTGGATGGTGATGAAGCTTATAATGGTGGCTGGTGATGAGGCATATAATGGTGGATGGTGATGGGGTATCTGATGGTGGATGGTGATAGGGTATGTACTGGTGGATGTTGTTGATATATCTAATGGTGGATGCTGATGAGGTAAAGTAGTGTATGTCGATGGTGAATGTTGTCAGGTACATACGTGGGTGTGGTAGCATTTACTCTACAAGATTTACGTCAATTTCAATACCCCACAAATAAGCAGGGCGTTGTGTGTCATCCACGATAATCTCCCTTTAATATTCCACCTCATTAAACCCCAGTTTTAATGAATGTGAATAATTAGGGGCAGGTTAATCAAGGCAAATCATGACTGTATACATCTTGACTCAAATCTGTCAGAGTTGCTCGACTTACAGATCTAGTCCTATCATTGGTTAGTAGATTCGCGGTCATCTGGTCAGTAGCTAACTTATCACTGTGATTTTTTAACTCTACAATAACTGTAAGTTAAATACAAACTATAAGAATGGTGCAATTTTTTTTATTTTTTTTAAATCTTCATTTTGTTTAAAGAAACTATTTTATGTTGTACAATAGATGTTTAGCTATCTATCGATGTAATCAATGTATTTTGTTTCGGCTAGTATCGTTACTTATAAACTGAACCATAGCCCTAACTCTAGACACTAATCTGAAACTTAGACTTAACCTTAATCCTTGACATTACACGTCTGTTAAAGAACTCAAGATCATAATAAAATAATCAATAAATCTGCATACTAGTGTGCCTTGATTAGTTTTTAAAAAAATTGCTTAATTGTCTAGTTTTAGTTAATATCGCACATTCTAAAATTAACACTGGTAAACATTTACTGTGGTAGTATTTTCCCCTAAAGTGTACTACACATATAAAGCAGTACTTCTACTTGTATTTATTGTGCATCAGCTAGCGACAACTAACTGTGGGTACCGCACTAGTGAGACCATGAAGACGAGGGCCCTACTGCAAGTCTGTGTGACGTCAGCACTGATGGCTCTGACGCTGGGAGCTGTTGACGTCAACACGAAGATCTACGACATCCACCAGCTGATGAGAGCAGTGGACCAGCAGTTGGTTGGTGAGTTGGTTCATGTGTTGCAACATCAACCGTGCCGCGGGCCGCGTACAGACCCCTCATATCCCAATACTAAATAGTGTTCCTGTCTTACAATGATAACTGTGCCGCGGGCCGCGTACAGACCCCTGATATCTCTACTAATGCTGTACAATGTTTCTTCCAGACTTATTTTTCCAGGAAGGGGGGGGGGCACTTGAAATTTTCGGGGGGGGGGGGGGATGCGGGGAAGACTAAAATTTCCGGGGGAGGGGGTAAACTACTTTCTTCGGGAGGGAGGGGGGAGGCAGAGCCTGGAAGAACCTCTGATACTAAAACCAACATACAACGCAAATCGGCTTTTTGTTAAGGCAAAGGCTTCGTTCTGTTTATTTTATTTTGTAAAAAAAAAAAACACTCTTGTTAAAGCCACCTAAATATAACCTCTACAAATATCCGTGTAAGTATTGCAATCATATAGTCAAATCTCTCCTGAAATACACATCTAACTTTAAAACAGTAATATTTTTGTTTTGCAGATTTATCAAAGCGTACATGTGAGTTGTTATTTATTTTTAAAAATCTTTTAAATACTTATCTTTTTCAATTGAAAAACTGTAATCAGGTTAGTATTATTAAATAAAGAAAATCACGCTGTTGTAATGAACCTTTTCTTGGTGTCAAGATCAATTAATTATTGGTTGGGGGTTTTCAGGCGAAAACAATTCTTCATCACATTTAAAATTAATTAAATGGTTTATCGCCAGCTTAATTTAACAATGAATGCACATAAAAGTCAGCTAGTTTCATACTTGGTGTGTATTTAAGTATTTCAATGGTAAGCAAGGCGGTGTACTCATTGTTTTCTACTCAAAGGTCAAACCGGAACTGGCTACGTGGAGTTGTGTCCCCTGAAGGACGCCTACTTCTACGACGTGTTGTACTGTCTGCTGGCTCCACTCAAGGGCAAAACTTACCCCAAGACAGTAGAGGTGAGTTGTCTCCCCCTCCATCCTCACCCCCTTTTGCTTCCCCCCCCCCCCCCCCCGCACAACACGCACAACTTACCCCCAAGACAGTAGAGGTGAGTTGTCTCCCCTCCATCCCCACCCCGTTTAGCTTTTCTCTTCCCCCCCCCCACACCACACACAACTTACCCCAAGACAGTAGAGGTGAGTTGTCTCCCCTCCACCCCCACCCCGTTGAGCTTTTCTCTTCCCCCCCCCCCACAACACGCAAAACTTACCCCAAGACAGTAGAGGTGAGTTGTCTCCCCTCCATCCCCACCCCGTTTAGCTTTTCTCTTCCCCCCCCCCCCCCCACACCACACACAACTTACCCACAAGACAGTAGAGGTGAGTTGTCTCCCCTCCACCCCCACCCCCGTTTAACTTTTTTCTCCCCCACCCAACCACACAAGAGAGTAGAGGTGAGTTGTCTTCCTTCGTTCCTACCCTCAAGCTTTTCTTTCTTTTACCCCCCCCCCCTCCACACACAACTTACCCAAAGATAGTAGATGCTAATTGTTTCTCTTCATTCGCACACTCCAACACCCCCTCCCAACAAAACTTATGACAACACAGTAGCCGTGTTGCTCCTTCATCATACCAGCCCTCCAAATTTTACTTCTCCTCACAACACCTAACAGATTTTAGCTGTTGTCTCTCCTTCACTCGCTGAATTTGAGAAAAATAAAATTTAAAAGTTTGTTTTAATGAGCTAATAATTATAGATTAAGAACATTCCAAAAAAGCATAAACAAGTAAATTTACGTTTAAAGGGAAGCAATCGCGTTAATGTGTTTGATTTCAGTAATAACTGAGTTATATCCCTTCTCTGTTCCCCTTTGCTAACTAGAGCGTGTACTATATTAGAACTGACTTACGACAATAATATTTTTGTTTTGACCAGATCAAGTTCGCCTCCCCCTTCATCACCACGCCCACGGCTGTCGTGTTTACATCCGGGCTCTCCTGGGCCGTGGGGGGCGGGTACCGCCTGGATGTGGCCGGCGTGACACCCACGGGGATGACGGTGAAGGTGGACACGGACGTGCTGCTGGCCGTGGGATCCGTGCAGTTCAACTATATAGCCTGCGACACGGAGCTACCGTCCGACCACACCGACCACGGGGCTGGCGTGGAGTAACTCGATCACGCCGTCACGTTTATGTCGCGATTATGTCACGTTTAGTTCACAATGAAATGATTTTTGTTTTTGCTGTCATTAAACTTGAAAAAAAATGAAAAGATATTTTGTTGTTTCTGACAGAAATCTAATAAATTTTACAAAAAAAGTAATTAATAACTGGATCACGATTTAGGCATTAAGACTGGAATATAGAAGAAGGCAAGAACTAGATTTAAGTCAAATCGTCATATTTTGACATCGCTGTCATTTTATCTTGTAAGAAAGTTGGGATCTTGTCCAGATAAGCCCCGCCTAAAGTTAATCCCGCCACCCCCCAAAAGACAATAAAGAGGATATAATAGTTGTAGTTTTAGATTTGATTGTAAGATGGTGCAACTACGACAAGCCATTTATAATTTGCATGAATAGGTCTGTATTTTAGTATCCTTAACTCCACCCTAAACCCAACCCTAACCCCAAGCCCAGCCACCCAAAAAAAAAAAGATTACAAAAAAGAGGATATGTAACTTGTATTTTTAGGTTTTATTGAAGAGAGTGATATTCTTATGTCATGAATATTTTGCATGAAAATGTAAATATTTTGGTATCTTTAACCCGCACTCTAATCCTAACCTTAACTTCACACCTAAACATAACCCCTACCCCATACCCATCCCCAACCACAACCCCAACCCTAACCCCTACCTGAACTTCAACCCCAACCCAAACCCTAACCCTAATCATAACCCTAATCCTAGAGGCTGATAAGAAAATATTTGTATGGCATGCGTTTAAATATTCAAATTTCTAGACAACAGAAAGTAACTTAACTTTTCGCCAGTGCATTTTTATTTTTTATTTTTGGGGGGGAGGGGGGGGGAGCAGCTTTTCTGGACAAGATGCGATGGCTAAATAAAATGTGTAAAATTCTTTTATGCCAAATATTAAATTTTTAAAATATATAACTTTTTGGTTTTTATTTAGGCGTGTGTTTAGTAGAATGTGCAAACCATATTCCAATGTGGCAAACGGGATTAGATGTGATTAGACTGTGACAAGATATACAAAAAAATGTTGTGCTATAACTAATATAGAAATTATAAAGCTGGCTGCGTGAATATAAGAAATGTAAAGCTGTACATCGCTATGATAAAATGACAATAGGATCAGCACGCTTTTAAAACAATCTTCATTAGACCTGAATGATTTAAGCCCGAGATTACATCGACGAAATGAAAACACATTTTTCCGTCGCATCTAATTCTGAATTTCATGATGGATGTTGCACAATCTTGTTCCATTAATTTCAATAAAGCTTAAGTTTTTAATTTTTTTTTTAATTTAAATTTTTTTTCTAACTGGAAAAAATCCTTGTTTTATTAAAGTTATATAAAATATGGGTGGGATGTGGTTTGGTGGTAGAGCGATTTCTAGCTTGAAAGACTCCAGCTCATATCCCGAAATTGAGTCTGTAAAACGCCCCTGAGTCTATCCAGTTCTCATAGGTTCCTGACTCAAGTTAGGGAAATAAAGGCGGCTGGGCATAGTGCTGACGACACTATTTTGATAAGTCAAGGTAATTCAAACAGATGAACTCTACTTCATCTGCTCTCTGTGTCACATAGAAATGTTGATGATGATTAACATGAAGATGTCTAATTAAACGATATTACTTTTCATGGTTTATTATTTAATGGAAAATATCATAAATGACCTAAACGGTATACCGTAAATCGTCTAGTTACCTATCTAATCCGCGCAAGAAATGACACAAATGATCAATACGGTGTACCATACCAGCACTTCACGCTCTGTCTGTCCCATTATTCGCCATCTCCGCGCCTGCTCAAAGCCACGATGAGATTTTTAAACGTCTGCTCTCTCGTCGGCTGAGGGTCTGTTCTCCCGCATTCTTGACCCCTGGGATTAGCTGACCACGTGATTAATTTATCAACAATCAAGAAAACTTTGTGAAGTAAATATAAACAGTGCTAGATCGCCTCGCTGGGATTTTTAAATCTATGGTAAGTTTTCATTTGGATTTTTTTGTAACATTCGGAGATTATAGATCGAGTTTCAGTCAAGGATTGCATCAACAAGCGCTGACGTCTGCTGTCCACCTGTTACATGTGCGTTTCAAGCGCGTGTTGTATAACGATTGCTGTAACATTTAGCATGTAACATTAAACGTATAACATTAGCATACAACAGATAACAATTAACGTATAACGTATAACATATAACATTTAACACAAACATTTAGCATATAACAGTAAACGTATTACATTTAGCATACAACATATAACAATTAACATATAACATATAACATGTAACATGTAACATATAACATTTAACACAAACATTTAGCTTATAACAGTTAACACATACAATTTAGATAAGGTCATATAACGTGCTAAGTTAAACGTTAAACGTTATACGTAGGCCTATAATGTAGCATCCATTGCATATGTAGGCTATAAATATAATAAGCCTACAATTTTAGTTAGCGACATTTTCTTTCTTTTGCTTTTGGGTTTTTCTTTTAAATCAAGTTGAATAGCAAAGTCGAAGTTTTAAAAACGGATTCTCCTTGTTGACTGTGGACTTTAGCGCGAAGACACGGGTCGAGAATTTTAAAAACAAAGTTTAATTAGAACTTTTGTCGGAGCGTCAAGTTTTTGGGTTGCTGCTAATTTGTGAGGCGCGCGCACGTTCAATAGCGAAATGTGGGGCGTCAACCACATATTGCACCCCATATTACACCCCATATTGCACCCCACAGCGCCGCTTCTAGTCAAGTTGCAGCCAGGGGTGTGGGGTGTCCCTACAACCCCACCCCTACATGGTCTGGTGAGCTTTGGTTCACGCTAAATGTTTGCAGTCGTAGAGCCGGGTTTAGTGACGGTTACTAGGGGCAGATAATTTAGTTTGAAACGATTTTAAACTTAGGGGAGGTAACTAAGAGGAGGCTGTTTTCACGGGGGTGGGGTAGGGGTTGGGGAAAGGGGGGTAGTATCGTCCTTAACGAGCTACTGATAGTGTTTTAAAGCAAATATATTAAGTGGCAGCATTGGTACTATCGAATTCACAAATTATGAATTACTGAAAAGTAGAAAATAAAACAACTAAATAGTGGCGTATGATACTCCGTGGGTTGGCTCGTATAATATAATTCTTGGCCGACTTGGCTAGCTATTGCATGTTTAGAATTCAAGTAACCATATGATAACATCCATCCCAATTTACAAGCCAAGTCGTCGAATAAAATAACTGAAGCAACAAACACTGACCCGCGATAATAATTTATCACACATTTTTTTTTTTTAAACATCCGCCATTTTCTAGTTGTCTGATTGCCGTCTGCTAATGCACTACCACGAGCATGACCTTGGCGTGACATTGATGGACCGGCATTAACTACTTGCGTGTGGTGAGGTGCTCTTGGTCCGGTCACAATGTGGTGTGTGTGTGGGGGGGGGTGACAGAGTTGGGGGGGGGGGGGGATAACTGTATCTGCCTTTTATCATGTTCTGTGTCCGATGTTTGTGAGTGAACAGTTTTTATGTTTAATTTGGTTACTGTGCTTGAACATAGGTGCAAGGTCTCTTTCAGACATTATTCTCCGGGTGTTGGGGGGGGGGGGGGGTGGATTTGAGACTTACGTGGAGGTGCACTTAAAATGTTCGATATGGGGGTGGACACTTGTTAAAATAGATATCTTTTATATGAATTATATATATATATATATATATATATATATATATATATATATATATATATATATATATATATATATATATATATATAATATAATTTCCTGGGGAGATGGGGGGGGGGGGAGATGGTCGTATTCCAGTAAGGTGGGATGGAAGCTATGAGTGGAAGATACCCACCTCGAGTCCACGTTTAAGTCAGTAGAACGTCCCTGAGTCCACCCAGCTCTGATGGGTACCTCACACGTGTTAAGGAAAGTAAAAGCGGCTGGGCAAAGCTCTGATCACACCTTCCCTTCATATGCCGAGGTCAAGAAACATGAACTCTACTTCACCTGACAAATGACCGCTGGGCCTAAACAGGATTACCTTAAGCAAGACTGTTTAATTAATTTTTGTATAATTAAGCTGCAGAAATGAAAACTAATCAAACGTATCTAACAATAAATAAATAATTATCCACAGTTGGAATTTAAATTATATTCATCTCCATCTGGAATTCTTGCCATGTCTTTGTCGTCTGCTATTTTGCTTTGTTCAAATGTCATTACATGTCACAAGTTAATTAAATGTAAACAAAATAATATCAACATCATTGCAACACACAGATATTAAAAACTCGACGGATAAATCTCATTTTAATTACGTTTTGTAACATGAATTCTCTCCCCTTTTAAAATAAGAACCATCCAATGAAAACAACCGACGCCATGTTTCCTGTCCCATCGAAATCTATTTATAGCTGCAGGAAATTGTCTATAATTTAAAACTTAAAGTCGAAAAACGGCGCCGTCAAAATTGCAAAGGAAACCGATTTGTAAATTTGTTCAATCAAGCTGCGTTTTATAATGATACACTGCGGGAAAATCGATCCTTTGAAAGTGCATCATTGAGAGTTTGCTTTATAAAAATAGATTTTTTTTTTTAAAACGAGAGAACCCGCATGTGATGGGGAAAAATTGAAATTTTTTATAACTTGAGATTAATGGCTAGAAAATGGTTTTTATTTTGTGTGCTTCATTAAAAATAATTATAAAGTAATTAAGGTTTTCTAATAAACTAATTTTGTTATTTTTTTTTTAAAGTTGTATTTGATAGAAATAATTGTTTTTATGCGATTTCAGGATTTAGAAATATTTTTATAAGAGATTTTGTTTATTTTTAATTTTTTTGTAGATTTAGCAATAGGACCTGTTTAGTTATTTATCTTGTAAACATGACCTTGTGTTGCAAGCATGTTGATAATCTAGAGATTATCTAGGGATGGTTGATGCAGAGGATGGAATTAATATGGGTTCTTGTGTGTATGGATATTGGATTAACAAGGTATCGTAAGCATGGATATTGTATTAC